GAGTGGCCCACGCAGCCCCAGCCCGTGGCACGGTTCCCACAGCCCTCGGCCGGGCTCTCCCAGTGACCTTGGAGGGCTGCACCCAGCTGCACAGGATGCTCGCTGCATCCAGGGCACCTCGTGTCCCCCAGCTCCAGCTGGGCCCCTCCTGCCTGTTCCCACCACCCCTCCTTGCCCCTGCCCTGTTCAACCCCACTGCCCTCTCTTGCCCAGACGTTCCCTGTCATCACCACCAACCCCTCTGCAGCCCTGGGCGCGCCCCCCACCACCGAAGGCATCCCTGAGCCCTCCCCAGCCCCAGCGCTGCATTCTGCAGCTGTAGACCCCGAGCTGAAACCCACCGGGGAGCTGTGGTGTGGAGGAGCCCCTCTTGCACGAATTCTCCATGTCCGCAGACCGGCTGTGAGTCCCCGGCCGGGGCAGCCCCCCGCGTTCTCTACCAGGAGCAGCTCCTGCCCGGGCAGGGTGGATTTTGGGCACCAGACGGCTTTGCAGGGGGGCTGCCGGGGCCGGCCGTAGTGGCACCCACGCGCCCGCAGGCACCCAACAACCCCAGCTTGGCTATAAAAGGAAGAGTCTTTTTTTTTTTTTTTTTTTTTTTTTTTTTCCCCGGCTCCGCCAGCGCCGCGTCCCTGGCCGAGCTCTGCAGCCGCTGCCCCGCAGGGCCCTCTCCAAGTTTTCCCATCCAGCGCTGCCCCCCCAGCCGGCTTCCCCCGGCTCATCCACCCCCGGCAAACCCACTGCAGCAGCTGCTGAGTGATTTATAAAACACCAAGAGGCCCAGCAAGCAGGAGGGAGGTGGGTGCAAGGGGAGCGCTGGCACAGGGGCCTGGGGGAGCGCCCCGGCTCCCGTCCTGCCGCCCGTGTCGGGGCGGTGGGCGCATGCCTCTGGTGCACCCGGCCGTGGTGGTCACACTTCCCTCCGTGCGAGCTCCAAATGCGAAGCCGAGGTGCCCAGAAGTTGGGTTTCCCACCCTGTCCCACAGGCACCTTGCGTGGCGGAGGGCGCCTCGGCTCCCTGGGGAGGGGGTGACCGTCCCCGGTGCAGGGGGACACCCGCAGGCAGGAGGGTCGGCTGCTGCCCGCAGAGCCCGAGCATTCACCACCCAGGACCCCCCTGCAGCCGGGACTTGCCGGGGGGGCCCATTGTCCCTCCAGCCACACAGAGACTCGCTGCCACCCCCCGCTCCTCCGCCCCCACCCGGGCTGGCCCCGGGCAGGGGGGGCTGCGGTGTCCCCCTCCCCAGGGTGTCCCCTCCCCGCCCACTCCCAGCCGCTGCCGGCGCCCCGCAGCAGGAGCATCCCCGGCCCCGGCGGGCTCAGCATCAGCGGGGCTCGCTGAAGGTTAAACCTTGGCGGCGGGGAAAGCCCCGCTGCCCCCGCAGACCCCGCAGCTCCCGCCCGCAAGGCCACTCACGGTCCTGGAGGTGACACCGGCCGCGGCAGGCTGGGCTGGCGGCAGCGAGCTGCGGTGGCACCCGGGAAGCACGCTGCTTCCCTGCTCGCCTTGACTTTGCCACAGGACTCCTCCGGCTCGTCCGCAGGAGCTTGCAGCATCCTCCAGTTCAGCGGGAGAAGTTCTTCGCCAGGGAGGGAGGGAGGGAGGAGGGAGGGATTTAAGGCAGACCCTGCCTGGGATGCAACATCTACGGGTGCAGTTGAAGACCCCTCGCTCGCTGGGCACCCCAAAGCTCCCTCCTCGCTCGCCCCATCCTGGTCTCCGTGTCCCGGCACATGTGCCCAATTCTGGGGATGCTGCGTGGGTGATCTCTGCTGAGAAACCCTGTCCCTGCCGGACAGAGACCGCCAGGGCTGCCTCCAGCACTCAGACAGCCGGCCAGCCCTGCCACCTACCCCCGGTGCCCGGCGGGGCTCCCAAAGCCACATCGCGGGGGAGCCGGCACACACCGCTGGGCCCAGCAGCAGCCCAGGGCAGCTCGAGGGCAAAACGGAGCTCGTGGAGTGCACAGAAGGGTAAAACCTGTCACCACCTCAGCCACGGGAGATTCCCATGGCCAGGGAACCCTGTGGGGATGGGGATCCCTGGGTTGCCGCAGGTCACCCGCTCGGGCCGGTTGTTCCAGCATCCCCAGCTGCCAAGCCCGGGTGCACGGGGCTGCTCTGCCCACCCGGGGCCCCGCCTGTCCTACCTGCGGAGAGCTGGCAGGGCAAGGGGGACCCCCTGCCCGGGGCAGGATGCTGGGAGACACCTTAGCGGAGTTCCCAAAGGGAAAAGCCAGGACCAGCAGCGT